ATTACATTTTCCTTATTTTTCTCCAAAGTCAAAACCGGAAGGGTTTTGTGGAATGGAGGGAGTATTTGTATAGTTGAAGATAATCATCTCTTGTTATTACTCCCATCATTCCAATATATTTGTACAATTTTGATTTTTTTGAATGAAACAAGACAAATTGTAGTCATCAATTTAAGACACATCGAGTAGTTAAAGTGTTGTCAACACTTAGGCAATGTTCTCTTCACCTGATCAGAATGACTCTAATATAATTAGAATAAGTTCTGATCTGATCTGAATGTAATTTTATTTAAGGTAGTGTTTGAGAACTAGAATTAATTTGAAACCTTAGATTTCAATTCCAACATTTGAAATTCCATAATTTCAAATTCACAATGATGTTTGGGAAGTCATAGAATTTCAATTCTAAAATTTGAATTTTAAACTCGGCAAAGACGGCAACGAAAGTGGATTTATATGTATGGGATTGTTATTATATAGGAGAAGATCACTTTTTAATTACAATTTTTAAATTAAAGAAAAATTAAGCTTGAATTTGTAAATAACATGGGGAGGGGTGTTAATTTTTAGTTGAGTTAGTTTTGAATTATAAGAATTTGGTTCAAATCCAAATCCAAATTCTTTGAGTTCCCAAACAAGTAATTTGGATCAAATCTGGATTTGAAATCCAAATTCAAGTTTCCAAACTGATCTGGTCTTAGTTGGTCTGATCTGATCTGATTCTAATAAGAAAAGATAATAAGTAATAAGAATAAGATCATGCTCTGTTCAACTTATTTTTATTACTTATTACTTTTTCTTGTTGGAATCGGATCAGACCAGAAATAACTTTAAATACAATTACATTCAGATCAGATCAGATCAAACCAGATCAGCACTTATTCCAATCAGATCAGGTGAATAGAACATGATCTTATTCTTATTACTTTTTCTTATTAAATTAAATCAGACCGGATTAGATCAAATCAGATCAGATTAGATCACAATTCATAAATAACTTTAAATATAAACACGTTCAGATCAGATCACAACTTATTTCAATCCAATCAACACCATTCAAATCACCCGGTGAAGAGAGAACATGAGGGTAGTGGCAGCCCCGTTTGGCATCAGCGTTAGAGATTAGCGTTAACGTTTTGAGAAGGCTATCTGACGGTAGCCTTTAGCGTTAGCGTTTTCCAAAATAATCTACACCATTAATATTTTATCCAAAACGCTAATACTAATTGAAAATGCTCATCCCAAACAAGGCCAGTGTCTAGCTCAAACGTAACACACCCTGATCGGAGTCAAGACTTGCGTACCATGCATGTAATGAGTGTACGTACACACTGTGATTGTGGAAAAAAGGGAGTAAAAAACGAACTCTCAAAGTCAAAAGTAGGAGAGGCATGCACGTGAATTAATTTTGACACTCCAGTCCATATATGATTGGCCAAAAACCATATTATTGGGAAGCGTTTTAACGTTACCGGGTAAAACTCCGTCCTGTGGGAAGACGGGGGAATTCAGCGGTAATTTAGGGTAGGGGGTAAACGGACACTATTAATTAGGGACTGTGTTGATGTAATGCTAATTTTTGTTAACGCACCAATACTTTGTGTCAGTGTAAATTTTTGTTAACGCACCAACACTTAGGGGCTGTTTGTTTCAGCCTCTTAATGGTTCAGATGTCTGAATGATTCAGCACTTAATGGTTCAGACTGTTTGATTCAGCCTCTTAATGGTTTAGATGTCTGAATGGTTAAGAGATTTGCTTCTGAATGGTTAAGTATTATACAGAGTCTGAATGGTTAAGAGCTCTTATCTGAATTGATCAGACATTTGCCTCTGAATAGTTAAACAATATACTAGCTCTTAATGGTTCAGACCTCTTACTGGTTCAGCACTTACCCATTCAGAAGTTACCAAACAACCCCTTAGTGTCACTGTGAACCATCAAAATATTGATGTATACCTTTGGTATAAATTTGAAGTACAATTTTTGTTGTAAGGGTACCATGGTCCATTAATTAATGCTCCCTCTTTAGTCTTTTCCATAAAACATTTTTTATTTTGTGTTTTAAAAAATTTAAGGTGGGTGTTTTCGATATTGCGTTTCAAAAATATCTTTATATGTGGTGAGTAAAAGTAAGATGTAGTGATAAGTAGGTTAACATTAAATAAATGCGATCTAATAGACAAGATCAAAATTAGTAAGAGTTAAAGTAATTTTTTAAAAGAAATGAATTTTTTTAGAAAATAAAAAAGAAAAGAGAAAAATTTTGTGGAAAGGTGTGAGTAAACACTTCCGGCCTCCAAATAACCATTACTAGAGCTTTGCAAGCAAAAATAGGGGCCAGGGCGGCTGACAAGAAACTATTCTTGTCATATCTTTTTTTTATACTCAATCCGTCCCTGAATATTTGTTACATTTATATTTCCAAAGTAAAATATCAAGTTTTTTTCAATTCATTTTATTTATATATTGGTATAGAAATAAAAAATAAAATTTACATATAAAAAACTACATGAAAAGTTCTTCGAAATAAGAGGTGTCAAGAATATTTTATTTTATCAAATAACCAATAAAAACGTAGAAATAAATAAAAATTCTCGCGACTGCTGAAAAAGCAAACGTTGCAAATAATTTGGGACGGAGGGAGTAGAATTTTTTATGTAGTTTTGAATAGTGTGATTCGTATTTTTTATAAGAAAATGTGATTCTTATTTTTTAAAAAAGATGAAATGTTGCATGTTATTTAAAATATAAAATTTATTATTGGACAGAGGGATCAGATCATATTTAAACATTATAAGTAAAAAATATGTTTATACTCGATTCAAAACAATAGATAATAGATATCAACACAGTGAACACACAATGCTAAAGTGGGAGAATTTTTAAACTACCAAGAGCACACTTTTATTGAGAGAATTAAATACCAAGTTAGTTTTTAAAATTGTAAAATTTGCACTAAATAGGACTAAAACATAATGACTTTCTCAATGTAGGACTTAAACTTTTTTATTCCCTAAATAGGACTTAATAATGACCTAGTGGGAAGAATAATGTCCAGTAATGATGGACATTTACTTGAATAATGACTACTTGTTAATGACCAAAAGTCCTACATTGAAAAATAAAAATATATGGTTCTATATTGGGAAAGTCATTATGTTTTAGTCCTATTTAGGCAAATTTCTTTTTTTTTTGAAAAGTACCAAGTTAGTTATTATTTCGATGTGTACATCATATTTTAATTTTATTTCATATGTTAACATTTGGTCCTCTAAATACAGAGTTTAGTACTCGCTCCCAGCGACTCAATTTAAATCACATGTTAGTCTTTACCAGATTTGGTTGAAATTACTTTTAATTTGATTTATTTTAAAATTAGTGTGAAATTAAAAATAAATACAATTTAAAAACTACACCAAATTATTTACAAGTACAAAACATGTGATAATATTACACTCCCTTCGTCTCTGAAAATTTTTTTCCTTTGTTTTTTTCATCCGTCCTAAAAAAAATTCATTTCTATTAAAAAATCACTTTTACCCGTACTAATTCTCACATCGATTCGCTATTAATCTATCCATTAAATCATATTTTTTACTCATCACATCCACGATTATTTTTGAAAACTCAACACCAAAATACACTCTTAAATTCCTTAAAAATCAAAATCTTCCAGGGTATGTTTGGTATACGAAGTTGACAGAATTTGAATTAAATTGGAAGATGAAATTCCATGGAATTGATTTGGATGGAATTGAGTTCTCCAATTCCAATTTATTTCTGACACTTCAATTCCCAATTCACATATTTTTGTGCTACCAAACAGTAAAATTGGAATTATTGTCTACAATTCCAAATCTACAGTTTGAATTTCGTGTACCAAACAGAGCCTCATGTTTTCAGGGACGGATAGAGTATTATTTTTATCAATGGGTAACAAAAGTGGATAAAAACGTTATTAAAGTTTGTCTTTATAAAAGAACATGCAATTTAAATTATGACGGATATGGTAAAAGAAATTGAAAAACTGATAAAGCAAGCAAGGGTGAGATATCTAATATGACAAGTGATGAGCACAAGAGAAATAGCATCCTATCCAAACAAACCAAACGTGTCAACTGTATACCAAGTACTTCGTTGTATCAATTAGTTTCCAAATTTATACATATTTTGATTTTTTTGGTCAAATTGTACAAGTAAACACTTTGAGTCCATAATAATAAATGAAAGATATAATTTTAAATAAATACTCGGGTAAATGTTATAAAAATTTATACGGAGTACATCAAAGCTACATAGTACATCTTATTGATCCGAAGATAAATCCAAATATTATTAAATTTAGATCATAACTAAATACAAGTAGAGTACGCACCTTTTTTATAATTTTTATTTAAAGTATTACTCCCTACGTCCTAAAATTAACTTTCCATTTGACTTTTCACGGTCTCCAATGCGACACTTTGACCATTAATATATCAATTTTTATATAAATATATTTTACAAAAATTATATATTTCAAAACTATGTTTTAAAATGAATCTATTGCTAATAAATTTATATGAAAATTCAATATATTTTTTCCATAATATACGGTCAAAGTTTAAAAAGTTTGACTACAAAACTCAAACTGAGAAATTAATTTTAGGACGGAGGGAGTATACAGTTTGACTAGAATTATTACTTTTTGGGACGGGTGTAGTAAAATTAAAGTGAATTTTAACAATCCCAATTTATTAAATGGGAAATAATTAGAAAAAATAAAATAAAATAAAATCAGCATGCAGCTGGAATTGCCTTGTCTTGTGGTGCAACTATCTCAAAACTTGCATGCATGGGACCACCTGCTGATCCCCAAAAACTCTTTTTCCCCCTCTTCCCATTTTACCCCTTCCCCCAAAAACTCTCTCTTATTCTTCTTCTCCTTCCCATTTTACCCCTCTCCCATGTTTATATATACCAATATAATCCTTTTCCCCTCCCCTCCACAACAATCACAACACAACCATGGCCAAAGGAGGGAAGCTCACAAAGATCAAATCAGTCCTCAAGAAAATGCAGTCCTTCAAGCTCAGCCGCGGCACCGCCGCCGGCGGACCCTCCGCCGCCACCGCCGCCGTCGGCAACAGCTCCTTCTCCGACGACCTCCGCCCGGTTTACGTGGGAAAGTCGCGCCGCCGGTACATGGTCGGAGCCGACGTCATCGACCACCCCCTCTTCCGGGAACTGGCGGANCCATGGCCAAAGGAGGGAAGCTCACAAAGATCAAATCAGTCCTCAAGAAAATGCAGTCCTTCAAGCTCAGCCGCGGCACCGCCGCCGGCGGACCCTCCGCCGCCACCGCCGCCGTCGGCAACAGCTCCTTCTCCGACGACCTCCGCCCGGTTTACGTGGGAAAGTCGCGCCGCCGGTACATGGTCGGAGCCGACGTCATCGACCACCCCCTCTTCCGGGAACTGGCGGAGCGCTCCGGCGAGTCGATCACCGTCGGGTGCGAAGTCGTGCTGTTCGAACACTTGCTCTGGATGCTCGAGAACGCCGATCCCCAGCCGGAGTCCCTCAACGAGCTCGCCGACTTTTACGCTTGTTAACTACGGAGTAATTAATTATTGATTTTTTTTCTTTTTTTTGCCATTTCTCCGCCGCCCTGCACAACACTTTAGCGCGGCGGCGGAACCGGCGGAGCTGGTTGCGTGGATATACCCTTCTTTTCGGGATATAGTTATTATTGGGAAAATTATACATTGCCACACTTACATCACATTTAGTACGCCCTCGAATTTGTTTATAAACAAACAAAAATTGTTTGTGTAATTTAAAATTTTGAGGGGTGTATATATATTTGGTGTATTTGGAGTGGCGTTTTCCTTATCATTTGTAATGCTCCCTATAAATTTGTACATTCTTTTTCAATGAAATAAAACATTTCTACTATTTACTTTCGTCTCATAGTAGTTACTCCCTCATCCCTCCATTTGGGAAAATCTTTGCCATTTTGACCAAAGGCAAAATTAAGAAAGAGTTAAATTGTAATTGTCTTCCAATTTTACCATTGATGTGATGAGTAACAGTAAGATGTGATAGATACTCCTTTCGTCTCAGTATATTTGGCCAGTTTGTTTTTTTCGAGTCAAACTGGACAAATTTTGAACTTTAATTAAATAAAAACCATAATGTATTTTAACATAAAAATGACTTTATTGAATTTATCGAATTCAGAACTTTTAAAATTATATTTCATTATTCTAATATGCAATAGAAATTGAGAGCATTTGGAGTTCAAAGTTTGTCCAGTTTGACTCGAAAAAGTCAAACTGGACAAATACACTGGGACGGAGGCAGTATATTATTAGAGAAAAAGTATGATTAGTAGATTTTTATTAATAGAAAGTGGAAGCGTTTTAGTGGAATAAAAAAAAGTGAAAGATGGTGTTTAGGGAACAGAGTGATTAGTTATCATTTCCCAAAGAACATACTCCCTCCGTCCCTAAATAAAGTTTCATTTTTGACTTTTTGAGAATTTAAGGGAGGGATATTTTGGTGTTGACTTTCCAAAAATACCCTTGATGTGATGTGTTAAAGTAAGATGTGATAGGTAGATTATTAGTAAAAAGGTATGACGTGATACGTAGGGTATGAAAAAGTAAGGGGTAAAAGAGGTTTTTTAAAGGAAAAGAGAAGTTTATTTAGGGACAAAGAAAAAACGAAAGAGGAACTTTATTAAGGGACGGAGGGAGTACAAAATTTCATTATATTTAAAATCATTTTAACTAAAAATTATTATAGAAATAAAAAATACCCCGTATCAATTACTTACACCATCCAAAAGTAAATAAATTTTATAAAACAAGATTAAATAAATATATTTTATTTTATCAAATAATTTATAAAAAATTACAAATAAATAAGAGTTATTGAAATACAATACTAGAAATAGAGACATCATTGTGAGAGGGTTCAACACTTCAAGTAGATATGGAGTAATTAGTTGTCATGATGACCATTTTAAAACGTTCATTTTAATGTTCCTTTCATGGGTCTCTACCTGTCTCTCTTTAATTCTTGGTGGAATTGACGATGCAGTAACCATTTTTAGTAAAGAAGACTATTTAGTTGGCTCACCACTCCAGAAAAAGATACTTCTACCCAACCAAAAAGATTTTTCAATCTTGATTGACTAAATTTATTTTTTATTTTATTAAATTTATTATTGGTATCAAATTAAAAAAATAAATTTTGTATTTCTGAAATTACATAAAAATCTGAGAATTATCACATTAGTTGTGATAATATGAGAATATTCACATTTACATAATTATATTGCACATTTACATAATATGCAATATATATATATATATATATATATATATATATATATATATATATATATATGCTCCAATCAAATGACACATTACGGTGATATGACATGTTACGGTCAGATGACGCAAAACTCACCACTGCCAACTGCAAAGCTCACCAAGAACAACTGCAAAGCTCACCAAACTGTAAGGCAAACTTCATCAATCATCATATTTTTTCAACACTTTGAATTTTTTTGAAAAAATAAAATCAAAGAAAGGGGTGCTGACTAGACTTTGACCGTTGACCGAGACTTTGACCACCGCCGGCTCCGCCGCTTGCCGCCACAGGTTGCCGGAATCCGCCTCCGGTCGCTGGCAACCGCCGCCGCCGCTAACCGGTGGTTGATCGGTGTTGATATTTTATTTTTTATTAATTTTTAATTTTTAAAATTTTTAAAAAAGGTGATTTTTAGTGTTCAAAGTGGTGAGCTTTACTCTATTTCTAGGTGAACTTTGCATTGTCCATTGGTGAGCTTTGTAGTGTAGTGTAGTGAGCTTTGCATCATCTCACCGAAGCATGTCATATCACCATAAGGTGTCATCTCACTGAAGTCAATCCCATATATATACACACACACACACACATACATATATATATATACACACACACACACACCGTCAAAGTAATTAAGGCCTCGTTTGATATAGCATTAGAGATTCGCGTTAACGTTTTGAAAAAGTTATCCGACAACAGTCTTTAGCGTTAACGTTTTCAGAATTAATCTATATCATTAAAATTTTATTCAGGACGTTAACGTTAATCGAAGATGATGTACCCAAACAAGGCCTAAAAAATTAATTTTTGGCATATTCTACTTTAATTTCACATACAGCCAAGTGACTATATATATAGACATCATGATTGTGGATACTCCGTATTAGTTAATGAGCACCTACATGAAAGGCGCTAAATTCATAACACAAGGGTACCAATTCAATCCGGGCATTAACATCTCAATACAAAAAGTGAAATTTGCACTAAATAGGACTAAAACATAATGATTTTTTTAATATAAGACTTAAACTTTTTTATTCCCTAAATAGGACTTAATAATGACCTAGTGGGAGGAATAATGTCCAGTAATGATGGACATTTACTTGAATAATGACTACTTCATAATGACCAAAGGTCCTACATTAGTAAATAAAAACATATCGTCCTATATTGGAAAAGTCATTATGTTTTAGTCCTATTTAGGTAAATTTCTCAAAAAAAACCCGCTCTTTGGAAATGTATAGTTTTTAAAAACTAGTGTTTGTCTTTTGGATAATTTTTTAATGTTACATGATTAGTTTTAAAAATATTAAAACTAAATATTTTAATTAAATATTAATGTTGTCACATAACAATTTGTTAGAATTTAGGAGGATGAACGCTTCGAACAAAGTAGCGTTGAAGATTTTATGAAACGAAGAACAAGCATTACAACTTGATAGTTTAACGAATTGCAAATACGTACGCTTTCAGATCAAAGTTATTTCGGGATATACCAAATTACTTTAATCAGATAAGGCGTTAATCAAGAACAAGTTTTGAAATTACCACCCCAATCGTACCAATGAGACTCTTTTATAGAGTCACAGTTCTTTGTGATCAGACATGAACGTTCGCGTATGCATACGAGAACGTTCGCGCATTAGGAAAAGAACCGAACCCTTTGCTAAAAGACGCAAGTGTTTGCGCGAGTTTTCTTTCGATTTTTGGGTTGGTTTTGACATTTATCTGTACGTCCAAAACTTTAAGTTTTGGACTCCGTTCACGAAAATCTAAAGTATCTTCATAAAACAATAATGTCCAAAATCCCGGACACTATTTACATGGTCGAACTTAACTCACTTTGTTTGCTTATTTTTGTTATTCATTTCATATATGGAGTAATAATATAGTCTTGTCATTTTTAATTTTGTAGAACTTTTCATGTAAGTTTTGCTATATAAGCTTTATTTTTAGATCTCATCCCTACAATAATACTCCGTATAAATTAAATTGAAAATAAAGTTAATATAGAATCTTTTAAGATATAAGGGCAAGATATTAGTAGGTGCAGAAGGATGGAGTATATTTCTCTGGTACGTAACAAACAAAGCACTATAGTGTTAGTGAACTTGCCATCAAAAACCACCAACGTACGTACGGCCCCATCATATCCGGCCATAAAATGCATGCATGTGGTCGACCCGATAGATATTCCACCATACACATACCATTATTGATAATTAGCATCATATGTATGATGATATGTATGTATGTATGCATGTATGATGTTCCATGTATGATCATATATATGGATGCATGCATGCATGTAACTCTAAAAACGAGACTTGGAGATGAATATGTTGGCGACAGAAGAAGGAAGCCAGATCATGTAAAAATTAATAAGGGAGAAAATATTCAGTATATTGAATTGGCTTGTGCTTACAAAGGTCTAACCCTCTTTATATAGGAAGAGAGTAAAACATTTAAGTAAACTTTTATTCCTACCATATTTCTATTCCTACTATAACAAGAACTAAGCAAACTAGGAAAGATACTAAACCGAATCCCAAAGGGATTCAGTTTTCTTCTTTGATCTGGCTTCCTTCTTCTGTCGCCAACACCCCCCCTCAAGCTGGAGCATGGGAGTTCAACATGCCTAGCTTGGACATCAAAAGATTGAACAAAGCAACAAAGCTTGAGGAAGCCGCTGCCATCGTTGTCCAAGTGTCATCTGGACACTTCAGTTTTTTTTCTTCAACGGAGACGCCAAGCTTTTCGAATCCGCCGAATAATTAGTCGAGTAAAGGAACGCCATTCTTTTCGAACCTTCACCGTATTCGAACAAACAGGGGGAACGCCATTCTTTTCGAACACCCTGAACGCCGACTTTTTTTTTATTGCCTGCTAAGGAAAAAGTTGTCTGTCTCTGTAGAACAACCCTTCTCGGACAACTTCTTCAAGATTGATGGTTGGGTGGGATTCCTCGACAGCAATGTTTTTCGTTGAAGGAGTTCATGATATTCTTTAGTGAGGGAGAACAATCAAAGAAAATCAAAAATTACAATATCCCGCCGGTAGGCATTGAATTTTGTATGCCCACCGGCAGGGGAAGAAGCGTGTTTGAGGTCTCAAGAATTCAAAACTTGCTCCGATACCATGTAGAAAATTATTTGGGAGGAAATTCCCTGTATATTGAATTGTTCTTGTGAATACAAAGGTCTAACCCTCTTTATATAGGAAGAGAGTAAAGCATATAAGTAACTTTTATTCCTACCATATTTCTATTCCTACTATAACAAGAACTAAGCAAACTAGGAAAGATACTAAACCGAATCCCAAAGGGATTCAGTTTCTTTCTTTGATCCGGCTTCCTTCTTCTATCGCCAACAGAATATAATGTATAGTATCTATATCATCTATTCGTATAAAACGTACGTCCGTACGTTATTAGTTCACTTTGGCTGTTGAATTGGCCGTGATGAATGTACACCTAGCTACTCTTCCAATTTGATTTTTCAAACTAAAGTGAACATATTTAAATCTGTTACAATATTAGAATAATAATTAATATTGCTCAGACTAATATTGTGGGG